AGGACGGGACTCACCAGATGTATATAGATTACCGGGAGTTGAATAAGGTAACGATGAAGAACCGTTACCCACTCCCGAGGATCGACGATCTTTTTGACAAGCTACAGGGAGCATCTTGGTTCTCCAAGATTGATCTGCGATCGGGTTATCACCAGATGCGAGTCAGGGATGACGATGTGCAGAAGACAGCCTTTCGGACTCGATATGGTCATTACGAGTTCGTGGTGATGCCGTTTGGGCTCATCAATGCTCCTTCCGCGTTCATGAACTTCATAAACCGCGTGTGCAGACCGATGTTGGATCGGTCTGTGATAGTCTTTATCGATGATATCTTGGTCTACTCCAAGACTCGGGAGCAGCACGAGGATAACTTGAGGAAGGTGCTGGAGACATTGAGGAAGGAGAGACTTTTCGCAAAGTTCTCCAAGTGTGAGTTCTGGTTGTGCGATGTGCAGTTTCTAGGGCACCTTCTCAACCAGAAGGGTATTCTGGTCGATCCGGCTAAGGTAGAGGCCGTGATGAGATGGGAGGTTCCAAGGTCTCCATCTGAGATTCAGAGTTTTCTTGGTCTGGCGGGTTACTATTGGAGATTCATCCAGGATTTCTCCAAGATAGCCGTTCCATTGACCCGACTGACCAAGAAGTCGGTGACATTCTGTTGGGGGCCTAAGCAGCAGGCAACTTTCAAGACTTTGAAGCAGAGGTTATGCGAGGCGCCGGTCTTAGCCCTTCCAGAGGGTGTTAAGGATTTCGTAGTGTATTGTGACGCGTCTATCTCTGGTTTGGGCGCAGTGTTGATGCAGAGAGGACACGTCATCGCTTACGCCTCGAGGCAGTTGAAGCCTCACGAGGCGAACTACCCGACGCATGACCTGGAGTTGGGGGCGGTTGTTTTTTCCCTCAAGATTTGGCGACACTACATTTATGGGTCCATTGTACCATTTACACGGATCACAAGAGTTTGAGGTACTTGATGGATCAGCCCAATCTGAACATGAGACAGCGATGGTGGTTGGACATGGTGAAGGATTACGACTTTGAGATCCTTTATCACCCGGGAAAGGCCAACGTGGTGGCCGATGCTCTTAGCCGCAAGGCATTCACAACCCCGATCAGAGACATCTGTCTGAGGATGACAGTGAGTACTCCATTGTTGGAGCGGATTCGGGAAGCTCAGGTCGAGGGTATGAAGGAGGAGCGCCGAAAGTGTGAGCGGATCATAGGGTAGGTAGCTTTATTCGACTATGATAGCCATGGATTGTTGACCCTGCATCTTAGGGTCTGGGTTCCTTACTGGGGTGGTGTGCGCCAGGTTCTGATGGAGGAGACGCACAAGTCGAGATTCTCCATTCATCCCGGGGCGACGAAGATGTATCAGGATTTTCACCCTGATTATTGGTGGCCCTGCATGAAGCGGGACATAGCTTGGTATGTGGACCGGTGCTTGACTTGCAGGAAAGTCAAGGCCGAGCATCAGCGACCTCACGGAAAGACGCAACCGTTGGAGATTCCTGTGTGGAAATGGGGAGACATCACTATGGATTTCATCATCAACCTTCCCAGGACCGCACGTGGGGTAGATTCTATCTAGGTCATCGTGGATCAGTTGACCAAGAGTTTACATTTCATACCGATCCAGGAGAGTATTTCGGCCGAGAAGCTGGCAGACATCTAAATCAGGGAGGTAGTAGGTCGGCATGGGGTGTCGGTTTCTGTGATTTCTGAAAGGGATGTGTGATTCACTTCTAGATTCTGGAAGAAATTTCATGATGATTTGGGCACTCGTCTGCACTTCAGCACGACTTTCCACCCACAGACGGATGGTCAGAGCGAGCAGACCATCCAGACCTTGGAGGATATGTTGCGGGCGTGCATTTTAGACTTCGGTGGTAGCCGCGATACCTACCTTCCATTGGCAGGGTTTTCTTATAATAATAGCTACCACGCCAGTATCGACCAACCTCCCTTCGAGATGCTCTACGGGAGGAAATGTAGGACCCTAATCTGTTGGGGCGAGCTCGGTCAGAAGGTCATGGGGAGTACCGAGGTGGTACTCAAAACTACCAAGATGATACAGCAGGTCCGGAGCAGGCTCCAGACAGCTTAGAGTCGGAAGAAGATCTATGCCGACAAGCGCCGGTCAGACCTAGAGTTCCATGTGGGAGATATGGTTCTCCTGAAGGTGTCACTTTGGAAAGGTGTCATCCGGTTTAGAAAGTGGGACAAGCTGGGCCCCAGGTACATCAGTCCGTTCATGGTTTTCGCTCGGGTGGGCCGGGTTGCGTATCGACTGGATCTGCTAGCTGAGCTTAGTCAGATCCACAACACTTTTCATGTCTCCCAGCTGCGGAAGTGCTTAGTGGATGATTCCACCATTGTGCCTTTAGAGGATATCCAGGTGGACGACCACCTGAACTATGTGGAGAGACCAATGACGATTCTGGATCGCAAGATGAAAACCTTGTGGAACAAGGATGTGTAGTTAGTGGAGGTGCAGTGGTTGCACCGCAAGGGTTCGGAGTGGACATGGGAGCCAGAGGAGGAGATGAGGGAGCACTATCCAGAGTTATTTAGAACGACCGACTTCGAGGACGAAGTCTGAGATAAGTGGGGGAGAGTTGTAACACCTGGTGCCTGGTATATATTTAAATTTATAACCTATTCACATTTGTAGAGAAACTAGACGAGTTAGGAGCCCCAGACTCGTCGAGTAGAGATGAATTGGGACGCGGGTTAAAAAACCTCCACGACGAGTTGAGAGGCCTCAGCTCGACGAGTAGGTTGGCAGAATGAAACCCTAATTTTCAGGGTTTTGCACCCTATTTAAACACCTTAACCCCCATAAGCTGGCCTCATTTCCAGCCTCCACTGTCCAAAACCCTAAGCCATTTTTGGTGAATGTGAACTAACTTTGTGCATTCTTGGTGAGTTTGAAGAAGAAGAAGCTTGAAGGAGGAGCAAGGACGTGTGGGAGGAGAGTAGATCCAGAAGTTGGGCTTCATTTCTGAATTATCTGAGGTATAAAGCTTCAACCTTGTCCATGACATGCTTAGGTCTAGTTTTAGGATGCTTTCTTTCATGTTTTGGTCCAAGTATGTTGATGGTTGGGATTTGGACGTCCCACTTGGGCAAACCCTTCAGATCTAGGGTCTTGAGGGGACTTCATGGCATAAAGGTGACAACTTTATGGACATGAAAGTCCCATGCAACTTTTAGACCATCTTTTTGGTCTTTTGAGCCCTAGTAGGTCATGCATGCACGTAAAGATGGAAACTTTACGTGACCAAATTGTCCCTAGAGTACATATCTTTGTCCTCATGGTCTATTTTGAAGTTTTGATGGCTTTTGGAGTTGGATCTAAGCCCTTTTGGGTTAGGGTTTGATTTTTATGTGTTGGGAGAGGTCCTTAATGGGTAAAGTTGGAAACTTTACCCTTCTAGACGTATTTCCAACTTGGATCCCGAAGATAGGGCCTTAGTTTGAAGAATAATAGCTTAATGGGTTAAGAAGGGGCTAACAGACTGCGGATCTCGACGAGTCCAATGATGGACTCGGCGAGTTGATTTGAAAAGTCCCAATTCTGTTGATAAGGAAGAACTCGACGAGTTAGATCACGATTTCATGATTTTATGAGTTATGGGAACTCGGCGAGTTGAAGGGAAAACTCGACGAGTCGAGTCAACTCGGAACGTTGACTTTGACCTTGACTTTGACATGGACCAAAGTTGATCCTTAATGGGTTATGAGTATGAAAGGGTAATTAAGGAAATCATTTATGTGTAGGGGTTTGAGTTGGGTTGATTTCAGAGCCGGGGATTGTTCAGCTACTTTACAACATTCGAGGTGAGTTACCTTCCCGGCAGCAATGGGTCTAAAGCACCAAGGTCGGCCCACTAGTAGGAGTTTGTAGTTAGATGATTGTCTTTTTGATAATTTTCTGGTATGCCACTATCTGTTATGATTTATGTGCTAGTATGCTATGATATTATGTGGTAGTAGACCCCGTATCCGGTTGATAAGACCGAAGGGGTAGGTCGGGCACCCAGATATGCCTGACAGTATGTTTATGTATGATTAAATATGTTGTTATGTAGTAGTGGTAAGGGGGCGAAATAGAACCCGTAACCGGTTGAAAGAGACCGAAGGGGTAGGCCAGCACCCTAATATGCTAGGCAGTTACCGGTTGAAAGAGACCGAAGGGGTAGGCCAGCACCCTAATATGCTAGGCAGTTACCGGTTGAAAGATACCGAAGGGGTAGGCAACCACCCTGATATGCTAGGCAGTTACCGGTTGAAAGAGACCGAAGGGGTAGGCCAACACCCTGATATGCTAGGCAGTACCGGTTGAAAGAGACCGAAGGGGTAGGCCAGCACCCAGATATGCTAGGCAGTATGTTTATTATATGCTATGTGGTATGATGAGGGAACTCACTAAGCTTCGTGCTTACGGTTTATAATTTTGGTTTCAGGACTTCTTCTTCGAAAGGAAAGGAGCCGACATGATCGCAGCGCATCACACTATGGTTTTCCGCATTAAGAGATTCTTGGGAGTTGTACTTTGACGTTGTTTATTATGACATGTTTTGATTATTGACATATTGGTTTGATATGGGATGTCACTATGGGTGTTTTTATACTATGGGTTTTATAACTACTTAATTAAAAATGAAATTTTTGGTTTTAAATTTTGGGATGTTACACCACCCTATCCACATAGTGACCACCTCAACAACTCACCAATAACACCCTTATTCCTCCATAAACCACCACCATCAACGCCTTCAACTTTCTTCAACCTTCCACCAAGTTAGAACCGACAATTATCCCTATCCCATCAACCACCCTACAACCATTACCATCTTTAGTCAGCACAGACGCCACCTCCTACACCATCGTGAAAAAAACAAAGACAACCCCACCACCATCACCATATCCACACCAAGGTCATGTAACCTCCATGTACCTAACTTCGAGTTCGAGAATGGATCCTAAGAAAAAGAATGGACCCCAAAATAGCCCCACTATCACCATCATCACCATTTCCGATGATTTACACTCAAAACCCTCGATATACGGTTTTACGGGGGATCAAGGTGGGAGTGGAACTACGCCGAAACAAGGTGGAGTTCGTCCTCTTCGAAGCAGCAGAGGCAACATATTTGTCTACTAATGAGACGCCGATCGAGCCCATTGAGGCGGTAGTGAAGGAATCTGGTGGGTGTGAGTCTCAAGAACAAGAGGACCGATCTTTTGAACGTTGCCCAACTTTGCCCATTTGAAGCTTCATATGTCGTTAACCACTACCATTGTCGTCGATTTAGGGTTATGATGATATCAGTTTTCCCGTGAGGATTTCAATTGGTTGGGTGGTGATGTGTGTTTGAAATGGGAAAGGGAAAGAGTGTGGAATCCATTTTCTTTTTTGTAAAAAAATAAAAAAATATATATAAATAAAAAAAATAATAAATAAACAAGTGCCTACATGGCTTATGAAACGTGTTAAAAAAACCAGATCGACATTCACCTTATCCCCATAAAGCAACAATAATGGTTTATGTACTAATTATACAAATTCCAAAAACATTGTAGGGCTAAAATATTATTTCCCCTTTAACTTTTCTCTTTGGAAAACTATAGTTTTTCTCCGGTTTTGTAGTTTTCCATTATATTTTTATGATCTTAGTTCTCTATAATTTATTGGGAATCTTTGTGACAATTTCCCCAACATTCTAAAAGAATCTATAATATATCGATTGAATTAAAAAAATGTGGATTACATATAAGTACAAATATTAACAAATTTGATTGCAACTCTCAAGCAATACTGGTTCGGCTTGTTCTTAATCTATCCAGCACATACTTCTCGCCTGTGAGACATTCCACTAATCCTTTCAAGTGACACGAATTTACGTTAGAAAAATCAAGAAAAATATAAATATTAATCACAAGAAAATTAAAAGATCATGATTCCTAGTGGAGAATCTAAAGATTTAATTAACAATGAGATTGTAATTTTTAATACCATTTGTGTAATGTCGACAATCATGTCGACCAATAATAAGATCAGTATCCCAATTGCTGTTGAACTTGTGTATTGCATCAACAACATCAACTTTACAAGATCCAACTTTCCAGCATTTAGTCTTGGGCAATTTCTTCATCATCCTCATTTGCAAAACTCCTGAATCAGGAAAAAGACACAGATATTGTACTTCTCTAAGGCATTTCATCGAGCATCTTGAAGACAGAATTGAGTCAATTGGATCACACCTGGTATTTTTCTGCCTGATATAGCTGCAAGTGCTGCATATATACTTTCAGGATCTTGAGGTTGAAAATCAGAAACCATTACCTATCAAACAAGAGAAAATTACAACAAAATTAACAGAATCAAATTACCAGCGAATGTAGAGCGTTAATAATTGGACATATCAAATCAAATTGTAATTACAAATTCCCCAATTGATGAAAATTTACGCTAACATCTCTTTATTTGTAAGCTGTTGAACCTGAGAAGGAAGATCAGCGGAGGAAGTGATGACCATGAAGTGCTGTAAATCCCAAGAAAGAGAGAAAGAGTAGGCGGTCGACATAAGCAACTGCGGCGCACCCTTGGTGGCTGTTAATGGCACTGCCGCCACGAACACATCAACCCCTCTCGCCGGCGCCGGTGGATTTAGGGACGAATTAACCACCGTCATCCCAATGCCACCCATTTTTTCTGTGCTTTTTTGTTTTTATTTTTGGATTAAAAACTTAAAGATAACCAACGGTCGACCGTCGACGTATTTCGCATCAATATCGTGTTTTACTTAAAGAATAGATATTGTTTCACTTAAAAAAAGTGCTCGAATCAATTTTTGTAGTGAGTAATCTAACCATACTTTTTTTGTTTTATTCAAAAAATGATTTGTTTGATTTCTTTTTGAAAAATAATCATCTTCTCGGAACAGACTGACGTGTTCCGGTCCGGCCCATTCCAATTGGGTTTTTGATACATACCATAACAAAAGTTATTCTGGAATGCATTTCGGAATATACCATAACAAAAGTTATTCTTGAATGTATATCGGAATATCGTTATATTTTCGGATAATATGGACAAAGAAGATATGACACTTGATTCCAATGAGTTAGAAGTTTTACGTATTAGTTATTCATTCATTTGCTTCTCATTGTTTAAACTTCTAATTATATTTGTAAATAGTTATTCATTCATTTGCTTCTCATTTTTTAAACTTCTAATTATATTTGTAAATAAGTGACTTCGGAACACGAAAAACTGGTCCTAAACACCAAAGAACATGTATGAAATATTACTTTTGAACTTTGAATTTGCCAAAATTATGCAGGATTTTAGTATTAGTAAAGATTAGAGTATTAGAAAATTAGTTTTTTAGTGCCTCACGTTATTCCGCATTGAAAATTGTAGTCCGGAACATACATAATACATTATGGAACACACACAGAACATATTCGGAATGTGACGAACTACTCCAGAATATAAAGAACAAGTCCGGAATGTTCAACATAGTGTGTTCCAAAAGACCTGTTTCAGTTCGAAACTGTTTTGAAATTAATTTTTTTTCTTTTTTTTTCTATAGCAAGACGGCGTTTTTGATGCTTCCCTCACAATATCTTGCAAACCTGTTGTAACGGCTCGGATTTGTATATATCTATTTTATGAGATTTATCAGAGTTTTATGTATACAATACAAAATTTTACTCTAATTATAACCTTTACATCCCAAACAACAACCATGTGTTTACAAAAAAATCTACATACAAATTGGAACAACAAAGGAAATTACATAAAAGTAACCTATTATCTATTTTTTCCCTGTGCTCCTATCTTCTCTTTTGGTACAACATCTGCTACAACCTGAACCTGCAAAACATAAACATCTGCAGCATTATACACAAAGTGTTTCATGAGTTATTCTTTTATCTTCTTTTTCTATTTCTTTCCTTCTCTTTCTCATACTCTATCCACTTATCTCTTTCTTTCATAGCACACACTGTTATCATTTATTTCTTTCATCTATCTTTTTCTCTCCTCTATTCTTTCTCTACTTTACTCTTTCATTTAAGCCTCTTAGCAGGCTCTGTCTCTTTCTCTATCTCTTCTCTTTCTTAGCCTCTTAACAAGCTCTTTTCACACTCTTCTCTTGCTCTAACTATGTCTCTTTCCCCATCTCTTCTCGTTCTTTGCTCTTAGCCTTTTAATAGGCGCTTCTCATGCTTTATACATACTCTAACTCTTTCTCTATATGCATATCTAGTGCCTTAGCACTCTGCACTCATCTAGAACCAAAGGTCACACACCTCATACTCTAAGGGAATAACATGTCACTTTCATTACTGGGCACGCTAACCCATTATTAACCCTCTCTCTTATGATCTTTTGTAGATCCATAATCTTTCTTCTTACTCTTGAACCCCCTCTTGGATTCCTTACACTTAACCCCTTGTGGGTTACATCTAAGTTCTTACAAAGAATTTTGTTATCTTGTTCCTCTCAAGGAACCTTACTCTATCTTTTCTAACCATGCTCATTCTAGATTCTCACAAGAATCGTCTATCTATATTCCCAGAGGTAATCATCTAAATCTTTCCCCGTAAGGACATAATCTTATTCCCGTAGGAGTCATACTCTTTGTCCCCATAGGAACCTGTACTCTATTCCCGAAGGAGTCTGTATCTCTTGTCCCCGAAGGAACCATACTCTTGTCCCCGAAGGAACCATACTCCTGTTCACGTAGGAACCATACTCTTGTCCCCGAAGGAACCTTACTCTTATTCCCATACGAAACCATACTCTTGTCCCCGAAGGAAACTTACTCTTGTTCCCGTAGGAACCATACTCTTGTCCCCGAAGGAACCTTACTCTTAATCCCGTAGGAAACATACTCTTGTCCCAGTATGAACCATACTCTTCTCCCCGTGGGACCCTTCTATCTATGTATCTCTATTCTTGTTATGTGACACATAACATAACACTTGTGTTGGATTAGATGTCTAAGCCCATAACTATTATTGGTATGTACTTGACCCGAGAGTAGCATGGTCCATTTGGGTTGCATATCATCAGGACAATTTGTTAGGATGGACTCTTGAGAGAAGGTTATATATGATTTATTAATATATTATAAGTTATAATATATTAATATGAAATCATATGTTTTAATTAGTATTGATCAAGAATTAATTTGGAATTAATTGAGTGATCAAAGGAGACTAATTAAATCTATGGGGACTAATTATGGTAATTAGTTATATTTATATGTGTTGGGCTTATGATCCATGTTGGACCAAGTTTATGTATGGATACATAAAGAGTTGGGCCACATGAACCATGGATCATAACACCCATGGGTATGGATTTGGATTATACCCATGACCCTTGGAATCCAACATATAAATATGTACTCCTTAGCCAAAAAAAAAACGCCTACACACATGTACTTGGAGTTCATGGAGGTTTTTGGGTGCATGGAATTCTCTCTCAAGTTCCACCTTTGTCCATGATATGTTGTGACTTCATTTGAGGCTTCCACACTATTGGGGCTAAGCTCTTAAGGCCAAATACATCAAGACTTCAAGCTACATAAAAGGTATGTTACCCTAACTAGTATCTTGTATGGTATATGTCAATTGTATGCTAGTTATAGGCTTAATACCTTGGAAATGTCATTGCATGTATAATTAGTGAAAACATAGATCCAAGGTATTTAGGGTTGTATGTGCACCATATGATGTTGTAGTATGCAAAACCCTACAGTGGTATCAGAGCCATGGGTTGTTTTCAAATTATACTTGATGCTACTTGCTGAAAAAAGTTGAAAAAATCGAATTTTTGGCTGTCTGGACAGGGGACTCAATGATTCCATTGAGGGACTCAACGAGTCCATGTGTAAATTCATCCAACTCGTCGAGTTGGTTCTTGCACTCGACGAGTTGGAGCCCTGATAGCATATATTCGAGTTTTTTGGCCTGTTTTGGATTAGAATCATTACCACAAAATGTTTTTGTTCATAAAATTTTTGATTTTGTTGTTATGGTAATGATGATTCTCATCCAATTAAAAGATAAATGTCATAATTTCAAGATTTGTATTAGTTTATATGTTTATGCTAATTTCTTGAAGATTGATGATATGAATTATCTTGGTCTTATGAGTTAGATTAATAGAAAATTTATGTGATAATTGGTTTTCGATTCAAAATTGATCTAAAAGTTGTTCATAATATGTGTTTTTGTAACTTGTCCTCAAGTTATA